TGGCCTCCTCCCTCCCGCCGCGGCTTCTCCTCCCCGTCTCCGCCTCCTCCCGGGCCCGGCCGCGCCTCCGCTCCCGGAAGCCGCGCGAGGTGCCGCCGGCTCTGCTCGAGCGGGCCGGGACGTGCGCTTGCTTGCTTTGTTTGTTTCCTGGGGTGTTTGGGGTTGTTTTATTTTTAATAGAAGAGCGAAGGGAGGGAGCGTCTCTCTAGGGTGGAAGGGCGGCCGGGAGGCTCAGGCAGCGGCGAAGGAGGGTTCGCTGTCGTCGCCAACGCCCGCCCATTTCTCCTGCAACAGGTTCCCCCGGGAGCGGGAGGGGCTGGAGTGCCGCGCTGCGGCCGGGCTAGGAGCTCAGCCCACTTGGAGCCACCCCGAAAGATCCCGAGATGCGGGGTGCTTTCCTGGCCCGGATGGTAGTTCCTCCGCCCTCCTACCCCTAGTCCTCTACCTTCCCGTTGGATTCCCTTCCCAGATGCTTTGCCCTTAACGACCCGAAATGCACCCCATCCTGAATGGAATTCACTCAGTCGACACTGCACCCCACCTCCAGCCCTGCCTGAATGTACCTGCAGTACCGACATAAATTTAGTCTCCAAACTGAAATATGAACCCCTCCCAGCTGAAATTCTCCCACGCGTGCACTTGTCCTAAATTCCTCAAACTCGCACTGAAATCACCCTACTACACACGTTAAAATTAATTCCCAGCTCAAACTGGATTTTCCTCCTTTCTAATTGAGACTGGACACCTGCCCCCACCAAGCCTATCTGAATTCTATGAAACTTTCAAGCTGAAATTCCCTAGAGTCTGAAATCTATTTCCCGAACGGAACTCTTTAATTCCGATGCTCTCTATGAAAACCACTAAAAATGCCAGAATGCCTCCCTCTCCAGCCACAGACTCAGCAACAATTTGGACACGTAGTGTTGACCCACCCACCCATATCTGCTGCAGTCGTTGGTTTAAGATTCCCTCTTTGTTCCTGCCCTTTGGGGGGCACCCCAGCCCTCTTTATTTCTATTTTCGAGCAGTCCTCCAGTCCTCTTCCTTTTCAAAGGTCTGGTGAATTTTCTTTTTCTTTCCACCTTTAGAATTAGCCGTCTGGGTCTGTAACTTGTTTCCACTATACAGGGCTTGGACCTTGAACCTTGTACTTCCCTCCCCCATCCGTTTACATTTTCTTCGTTCAGGCTTCTCCTTGGATTTACCTCCACCTTCTCCAGGGATCCTAATGTCATTTCCTTATCTGAATATCCACTTAATATTTTAGTCCTAGATTTTCACTAGGAAGAATTGCCCAGCTAGCAAGGTAAGCACATGCTTTGGACACTTCAGAAGAAGGGCATCAGTTGTCCAAAGCTAAGACCTATAGTTACCGAGCAGAACAAAAGGAAAAATAGGTGCTGTAGAAAAATGGAACTGGCAGGGGACCAAATTAAATTGATAGCATTTTGTATATGATAGCAAGTATATTGTTCTTTTCCTTTTGGACTGATTGGGTGTAAATTCACACTCAGTTTTCTCTCTCTTCAACTCCCTAAGAGCATGCCAGTTAGCTCCATGTAAGAAAAACAAAACAAAGCTCATCTTGTCATGTGCCCTCGAGTTGACTATAATTGACTGATCTTATGAACAGTAAATCTAAACCTTACCATATCCTGTGTCATCCTCACCATTCTTAAGACACTTGAGCCCATTGTTGCATAAATCATACCAGTTCATCTTGTTATGGGCTTTGCTCTCTTAGACTATTCTTCCACTTTCCAAGCACTTCTCCAAGGACTGGCCCCACCTGAACACATGCCCAAAGTATGTAAGACATAGAGTTTCACCATCTCCAAGGAGTATCCTGGCTTCACATTCTCCAAGACAGACCTGTTTGTTCTCCTGGCTGTCCATGGAATAGTCAGTACTCTTCTCCAACATCACAACTCAAAGGCATCAATTCATCATCTTTAGTCTCTGTCCAACTTTCAGATTCACAACAAACAATTAGGAAGTTGTTATGTGCTGTCGAGTCATTTGTAACTCATAGCGACCCTATGTACACAGCTCTGAACCCTGCTCTATCCTGAGCCAACCTTATCTTCTCTGACACACCTACCCCAACTACCCCAGTCACGAGTCAATTTATCTCATCGAGGGTCTTCCTCTCTTGCACTGTCCCTCTATTCTCCCATGCATGATGCCCCACTTCAAAGACTGGTCCCTCGCAACATGCCCAAAGTATGTCAGACAAAGCTTCAGCATCCTTGCCTCTAAGGAGCAGCCCATTTTCACCCTCTCCAGGACAAACCTGTTTGTTCTCCTATCAGTCCATGGTATATCAAATACTCTTCTCCAACAACACAGCCGAAAGGTATCATTCCTAGTCATTGTCTAGCTTTCTGATGCATAGCAAGTAATTGTGAAGATTGTGGCCTGGCTCACACACACCTTAATCTCCAGACTTACTCTGTTGCTCTTCAGTACTCTGGAGAGGTCCCTGATAGCAGACTTTCCCAAAGCATTAATTTTTTTAAATTTCTTGGCTGCTGGAACCAAGAGTGTGAATTGTGGAATCAAGAAAGCTAAAGCTGTTAACAATCTCATCTCCTCATCATCTATCATGATGCTACCAATCAGCACAGTGGAAAGAATCTTTGTTTTCTGAAGATGTTGAGCTTCAATACACATTTAAGGCTGCAGTCCTTGACCTTCTGCAGCAAATATTTTAGGTCCTCCTCAGTTTCAGCAAGTGGGGTTGTGTCATCTCCGTAACACAGGTTGTTCATGAGTCTTCCTCCAATCCTGATGACACATTCCTCCTCATAGAGCCCAGCCTCCCAAATAATCTGTTCTGCATAGAGGCTGAAAAGATAGGGAAATAGGATGCATCCCTGGCGTACAACCTCCTCGATTTTGAACCATGCAGTGTCTCCTTGCTCTGTTCTGACGACTGCCTCCTGGTCCAAGTACAGGTTTCACAGAAGCACAATCAAGTATTCTGGGATTCCCCTTAGAGTCAGCCACAGTTTGAAATCAGGTGCACCTTTGTCTTTAAATTGACACCATTACTCTTTGGTACTCTTGGAGAGGTCACTGATAGCACATTTCCCTAATGCAAGTCATCTTTGGATTTCTTGATTTACAACTTAAGTCTTTTCTCCATCCATTATGATGTTGCCTATTGGTCCCGTGGTAAGAGGGCTTTTTTTTCCTGACATTGAGCTGTAATTTATAGTGAAGGTTGTAGTTTTTCATCTTCTGAAGCAAGACTATCAAGTCCTCTCTTTTAGGGAACAAGATTGTGTCATCTGCATATCATAGATTGTTGAAAAGTCTTTATCTAGTCCAGATGTGATTCTTTGTAAAGTTCGGCTTTGTGAATGATTTACTCAGTAATGTTGTCATTGTTAGGTGCCCTTGAGTCGAATACAACTTATAGCAATTGATGAACAAAAAGTTCTGAAGCCAGTCCTGTCCCACGCCATTCTCACGCTTCCTGAGCCCACTGCAGTAGTCATCTTGTCAATCCACCTGTTTGAGGGTCTTTCTTTCCTTCGCTGGCCCTCCACCTTCCCAACATCATGTCCCTCTCCAAGCAATACCACCTCCTAGCAATATGTACAAAGTATGTGAGGTAAAGCCTCATCATTCTTGCCTCCAAAGAGCACTCTGGCTGCACCCTCTCCAAAACATATCTGTTTGTTTTTTTGGCAGTCCATGGGATGTTCAGTGCTCCTCTCCAACACTACAGCTCAATGATGTCAATTCTTTTTATGTCATCATTATACATTGTCCAGCTCTCATATGTACAGCTAGTAATTGGAAAGACTATGACCTGAACCAGATGCACCCTAGTCCTCAAACTGACATCACTACTCCTCAATAATTTAGAAGGGTCCCTAACTGCAGATTTTCCCAGTGCAGGGCGTGTCAAGGGTGTTAATTGTGGATCCAAAAAAGATGAAGCGATTGGTAGTTTTAATCTCCTCTCGACCCATCATGATTTTGCCTATTGGTCCAGTGATAAGAATCTTTGTTTTCTTGACATTGAGATGCAGTCCATACTGAAGACTGCATTCCTTAATCTTCTGCAACAAGTGCTTCAAGTCCTCCTCATGTTCTATGAGTTGCGTTATCTGCATAATGCAGTTTATTGATGAGTCTCCCTCCAATCCTGATGCCTCATTCCTCTTCATGGGGTCCACCTTCTTGGATAATGCACTCAGCATACAGTTTGAACAACTATGGAGACAGAACACATCCCTGATGCACTCCTTTCCCAATTCCAAACCATGCAGTGCTCCCATGCTCCATTTGCACAACAGCCTCCTAATCCAGGTATAAGTTCCTCAAGAGAACAATCAAGTGCTCTGGGACTCCCCTTCAATGTCAGCCATAACTTGTCATGATCCTCACAGTCAGATGCCTTTGCATAGTCAATAAAGCACAAATAGACATTCTTCTGGTATTCCTTACTTTTCAGCCAGGTCCCACATCAGCAATGATATCTCTGGTGCCACAGCCTCTTCTATATCCTGCTTGAACATTTAGCAATTCCCTATCCATGTACTCGTCTAGCCATTTTTAAATTATATCCAGCAGTATTTTGCTTGCATGTGATATCAATGATATTGTTTGATAATTTCCACATTCAGGAGGATCACCCTTTTTGAACACATATGAACAAAAAATTGACCAAACGTGCAATCAGGATGTGTTAATGATAATTGGTGACTGAAATGCAAAAGTGGGAAACAGAGAAGAAGGAACAGTAGTTGGAAAATATGAACTTGATGATAGAAATGAAACAAAATAAAATGAATTTTTTATTTACAATGATTCATGCAAATACTTTTTCTAAAAAAACCAAAGAGGACTTTACACATGGATTTCA